ATGGCATCACAGCTCACAGCAACCTCCAACTCCTGGGCCCAAGAAATTCTTCTGCCTCCACCTCCCAAGTAGCTGGGACTACAGATGCCCGCCACAACACCTGGCTATTTTTTGGTTGCAGCCATCATTGTTGTTTGGCAGGCCTGGGTTGGATTCAAACCCACCAGCTCAGGTGTATGTGGCTGGCGCCTTAGCTGCTTGAGCCACAGGCGCAAGCCCTTATCTGAGTATTTTAAACAAATAGTATTTATTTTTGTTTGGAGTAAAAGAAGACCCATATCAAGTTGGTAGATACTGTATTTTAAAAATTATTTTACTGTTATATGTAGCATAAGAGGATCTTGAAGAGTAAGGTTTTAGTAGCTTTGTTTTTTGAATACAATGCATTTTGAGTTTCTGAACAGCTTTATGAAAATGAATACTTTATGTGCTGAATTGAAAAGGCAAGTGGCAGGGAAGGTCCAGTCATTCCTTACTAGATTGCATACTCCATGTAAGCAGTTAAGTGTCTGTTTCAATAATCACCAGTTATGATTTCTGTCATATAACGGATTTTTTTATAAATATTTGTAGTTATTATTCCTGGGAAATTAATTAAATATGTAAGAGAAAGAGAAGCAATTTGGGGGGGGGACATCAAATACTATATAATTTCAAGAGAGGAAACACAGCAGACCCTGGTAGAAAGTAACTTATTAAAATTGGTTTCCTTCCAAGGACACAGGTGCAGCCCTTGCCCAGAAAAATGGAAATGGCATGGAGATAAATGCTACCAGTTCTATAAAGAGAGCAGAAGTTGGCAGGGCTGTGAACATTTCTGCATTGCTGAGAACTCTACCATGTTGAAGATAAGCACACAAGAAATGCTGGTAAGATTCTGAGGCATTTCAATGTTTGAAGGATTCTCAGAAAGTGGCCTTCAAGGAGCTAGACAAGATTCTAAAGATCAAGATATTGGTGCACAGATTTTCTTGTTTATTGCAGTGAAGGCACAAGTCTTCTTCCTATTGCTTTGAATGATCTCCTAAAGTATTATTGTTCATACAACGTAAAAGGAATTATGTTTCCTATAAATACCAACCCCTTAGAAACATGAGAAGTGTCTTTTCATACTTCTCCTTTGGGTAGACAGTGAATAGAAAATGACTTCATTTCTTACCTCTTTGGGTTTGGGTGGGAAAGGAACCAATATGTCAGAATGATGAAATAGCACTGCCTATATTTACAGAATAAAAGTGACAAAGCATTAAATTGAACAATATTTAATTAAATCATGTGGAAATATGTATTTTGCCTTCCAAAGTTATAGCCTAAGATAGACTGGTCAAGGCAAATATGAAAATAAAAATTACACATTGAAATATTAAGTACATACTATTAAAGTGGTGTGATTATTTCCCTTTCTCTCATATTTATTATTGACTTTGGTTTGAATTCCTCAAACAATGTGATTATCATTGTTTTTCTAGAATTCATCAGAGGTCTTGGTACAGACTAGGTTATCAACAAAGGGTTACTTAATTGAATTAAATGCCCATCTCACTATATAAACTCTTGACATTATTCCAGTCACATCTTAGTTTCTACCAGCTTCCTGAAATCTGTGATCTATGAGCCTCTGCAATCTCTGTCATCTACTAAAATATTTTTTTACCCTTTATTGATAGCTCAATTTAGGCATAAAAGGAAATGATTTCTTTGACCAAAGACAGTGTGTCCTGGCATAAACCTTCAGCATTTTTCTTACTCTTTTTGTTTCCTCTGCTTCTAGCACACACCGAGGACTCAGGCATATAACTGAACTATGCTCTGTGCAAGAGCAGGAAGTTTTGTTTTGAAAGCTATCATGGTTATTTCTCCTCACAAACTTCATATATTTGTATATATTTAACTCATATTCATATGACTTCTTTTCTTAAATTGAAGAGATTTCCCCTGTAATTTGAAACAGTATTTTCTACTATAGGTCTTTTCACCTACCTATGCTATGACTACTGCTTAGTAATGGTTTTAGCTATGTATCTAATAATCTCCTATTGAATCAATGTGTACCATTTATTATTGGAGAGATTAAAGGTATAACAGTAAAACCAAGCATCCACATGTCCTTGGCCATGGTATGACAAAAGGAAAGACCTAAAAATGAATAATTAGAATAAATTTAGATAATTTCAGTGGTAAAACTATTAGCAGTACAGAGTCCAGCCATCAGTAGCACAGTAGTACAGGGTGTAAACCTCTAAAGCTCAAGGTTTTCTTGTGTGCCTTTCACAGGAGTTTGCCATGCCTCAGAGCTACTCTGAGTTTTTCTACTCTTATTGGACAGGGCTCTCCCGCAACGGCAGTGACAAGGCCTGGCTGTGGATGGATGGATCCCCATACTCCCTTGAACTGTAAGCCTTTAGAACATTTTATGGCAAAGGCATTCATTAAAGAGATTTTGTTTGAGTTATAGGGTTCAACAATTTGGTTCAATAAGCATTAATCAAACATCTGCTTGGTACTGGATATTGTGTTTACAGGATGTCCAAAGATGTTTGAACCATAACATTCACTACTCCACTGCTTATGAACCAATGAGGGAGACAGTTACATGGCATTAGTAAAATATCAGGGACTATTCTCTTGCTGCTTTCAGAAGTATGTGTCTGAGATTCACTGTGAATGAAGGGGGTGAAGGCAGGGGAGAGAGAACTTTAATGGATGAGTAAACTGAAGCCCAGGAACTCAGGATATATAATGGTGACTGCTTAGGGTCACACAACCTGTCAATACCAAAAGATAGGATAAGACCTTAGATTTCATGGCTTTCTAAAAAATACAGTCCTTTGAGAATAGATTTGCTGACAATATAAACAGTAATATTACAAAACACTAGTTTTATTTATGGTGTGGGAATTTATATAGGAATGTGCAAGGCTATTCTTTGAAATAAGAAGATATAATTTCCATAGTAAAGTATAATTCATATTACATTCATAAAGCCATGTTTGAACAGACACCTTTCTTCTATATATGTCATATATAATTTGTTTTCCCAAGAGACAGGACATATTCAATATAATTGTTTGTACTTCATAGCTAGGTAAACTGAGAAAGTAGACAACCTGTTAAATGGTAGAGTAATCATGTAGGGCTGGACATGGTGGCTCATGCCTGTAATCCTAGCACTCTAGAAGGCCCAGGCAGGTGGATTGCCTGAGCTCATGAGTTCCAGACCAGCCTGAGCCAGAACGAGACCCTGTCTCTAAAAATAACTAGTCATTGTGGCTGATGCCTGTAATCCCAGCTACTTGGGTGACTGAGGCAAGAGAATTGTTTGAGCCTAAGAGTTTGAGGTTGCTGTGAGCTGTGATGCCATAGCACTCTACCGAGGGGGACAAAGTGAGACTGTATCTCAAAAAAAAAGGAAAACAAAAGAAAAAGAAAAATCATGTAAGTTTGGATTAGAATTAGAATATGTATCTTGTTTTAATTTGAAGTG